GTGGCTATGATTATTTTTGTTTTTAGATTGAATTATGTATACATAAATATGAAGGTATAGTATTCCATTTTTAGAGAGGCTGTTAAAAACAGATATTAATAAGACTACAATAATTATTGGTATATTATAATTTTTTGGACTGTGNTAAGACTACAATAATTATTGGTATATAATAATTTTTTGGACTGTATTATGACAATTTTAGATTTTATTAATATAATTTATCAATGTGATCGCATAAATAAATACTTTTGTTTAATTTCCAATTAAATTTGTAGACTTGGGAGAGCAGTGTTTTCAAGATGACACGTGTCAGCTTCACGACAAGCACGCGGTGTGCGCACAGGTGGACCACAATGCCATATGTAAGTGTAAACAGGGATACCACATCGTCACCGTTTCCAGGCCTACCAATACTCGAAGTAGTTTCTGTGCTCAAGGTACTGGAAATCGTTTATTTTTTTACTATTTATAATACAATAACAATCTAAGACTATAATAAATAATACTTATGCTATATTTTGTTGCGTGTGCACAGATGAATCCGATGGCAGGACGGGCGGTTCGTCGCTTCTTGGTGTCGTAGTTGGTCTTTTAGTGTTCTCTGCACTTATCTGTTTCGGGTTGCGCCTGTCCACCGCTTCCAGGCCACGGCATTTCCCGACCACCAACTTATATCCCAACAAGCTGCTTTGCTCGCGTCAAACGAGTAGGTCGCCATTTATCGATTTTAACTCGTTTTATACCGGGTTTTGTGTTATGTTAAGACACCACCTGGTTTTCCCGCGCTATACTANTTTGTGTTATGTTAAGACACCACCTGGTTTTCCCGCGCTACACTATAGTATTATAACAGAAGCCTCCGCTTCAGACTTATTTAAGCCTTTCTCCCAGTACGAGACTTTCTTTACACGTGGCCTTTACCCTAGAATACCCACGAGACGGCCATTTAATAATTCATGTTTTTATTTATAATAAGATTTCCTCAATTCTAATATGAATAAATTTAGGGGCAAGGTTTTTAAATAGTTATAAAGCTATTTAAAACTAGTACA